CCCCAAAACCCCAAAACCCCAAAACCCCAAAACCCCAAAACCCCGAAAGCCAATCTAATCGCTAAAATCTCAAAATTCTAAATCAGAATAATAGTGATATGATATTATTTTTTTGATATTGATCATTTAATTATTTATGGAAAATTTATTAATCTTCATTTAACTTTCCCGCTTTGTCAGTTGTCCCTTTAAAAATTATTATAATAAGAAGATCAAAAGTTGATATCAGAGACTACAGTATTTATATCATTTTTAGCATTCTAATCTCTTTTCTGATCCTTCTTCTTGAATCTTCCGTTATTTTCTCTCTGTCTATTCTTGGCGACATTTTATCTTGATTTGTATTTCTAATTAAATATTATGATTTGAATAACACCTACCTATCTAAGTCTTGTGAAATAATGGTTTGGCTGGCTAATGTGATCATTCTTTCTAGCCTTCTTGCTCCTCATAAATAAGATTCTTCTAGCTTGTTTATAGAATACAAAACTTGGAGCCTCTCCTTCTTTTCTTGGAGGAAGTGGAACTTTGAACTAATATAGATTATTGAATAATAAGAATAATTTACCATAGGCTGCTATTAACACATATAAGGAGCAAAAGGAGGAGGTTAATGTTAATTTTACTAGAAACTAAATCCAAAATCTTATCCATGACCTCCATCAATTTAAGGGGAGAAAGAGGGCATCATTGGGTGAAATCCTGGGGGGAACATACTACCTGGTGTAAAGGGATACGGTGAAGAGAAGGGATGAGCATGAGGGTATTGATGATTATTATTCATGAAGTCACCAGGAGTATTTGGTCCATGGCCCATAAAAGGTGACATTTAGAAATCCATGAAAGGAAATGGTGAAGGGAATGCACCTTACTGGTGGGGTTAGCCAGGGAGATTTTAGAAATTATATTACTACTAGTTCATGAATAAGTTGTATCTGTTAGTAATATGAACTTGATTTTTAGCTGAGATTTCATCATCATCATTGTTGAGTCTTGGATCATCTGACTATTCACTATCAGACTCACTGTCTTATTTCTTGGAATTTAAATTTTTTCCCTTCTTCTCTTTCTTCTTTTCCTCTTCTTGATCTCTCTATTTTTTTACATATTTTTATTGAGCTTCATCTTTAATCTCTTGTTTTATCTCTGATTTGTCTTAATCTTGAATTTACTATTATTTATCTTTACTAGATTTAGTATTGTTAATTGCCTCAATTAATGCATCTTTAGGCTTGAGAAAATTCATACCCTACTTAGTCTCCTTCTAATTATTTCTGTCGTCTTCCTGAGGTAAATATTTTAAAGCACCAAGGAAAGGAGAACTCATTTACTAGAGTGCATCTTTGTTGAATCTGCTCTATTTACCGTTTTCGGGGATAGGTCTATGAAGTTTTGTTCTTTCATTACCAGATATTTAGGGAGGCCCTCCAAATGGGAAAGGCATAAATGAGGGAGGCCCTCCAAAATTTTAGCTGACGTTAAATTAATTCATATCTAAAGAGGCTTAAAATAATGCAATTTACCAAAATTCATCATGCCGGGGATTCCAGGAGAAGCGCCTTTGATAGGTTTTATTCCGCCTCGATTTAAATCCATAATTCCTTGAAATGGAGACATTTGATGGTAAAAGTTCATGGGGTCGAATTGATGGAACTGATTGTAGGGTTTTACGGCGAGAGGGTTGGCATCTCCTTCAGATTTTTGAGTTCTATCTTCTCTTATTGGATTTGATTTTGAATCTTTTTGTTTGGACTAAATTTGACTAGTTAGTGATGTTCTTTTGGCGATCTGTAATATTTATGGCTCATTTTGTAAGAAGTTTATTACCTGTGGCTAATGGGGATCTTGCTGCATTTTGATTGGATAGTCACTTAATTATTTATTAATATAATTAATACTGAGAATTGCAATCTCCCTTCATATCTTTTTCTCGGGGTTTTGGGGTTTTGGGGTTTTGGGGAGATCGGAAGAGCACACGTCT